GATGTCTACCCTTGGACTCGAAGCTCTTAAATTGGACAAAGCGGAGAAGCACTTTTATCAACAAAAGGCCAAATGCAACTTTCAAATAAAAGGTGATAAATGCACCAAGTTCTATCATGGCATGGTCAAAAAGCGAACAAAACAGAACTTCATTGCCTCGATTAACCGGGAAGGCGGCACCGTTACCGACTTCATGGAGGAAGTTACCAAAGAGTTTGTCCACTACTATGAGAATCTCTTGGGAACAGGGGTTGAAATAGAAGATGTAGACCCCGAAATCCTACAGTCGGGACCGTGTGTTGGAGTGGATGATTGTAAAGCCCTCATTGCACCGGTCACCGAAGACAAGATCAAGAACATTCTTCGAGACATCGATGGTGGTAAGTCCCCGGGCCCGGATAGCTACACCTCTACTTTCTTCTTGAAGAGTTGGGTGATCGTTGGGAATGATGTGGTAGCGGCTATCCAAGAGTTCTTTTGAACCGGTTCCCTCCTCAAGCAATGGAACCATACGGCCCTCCCGCTTATTCCGAAGTCCTCCCACTCCTCGCAAGTTACGGACTTTTGGCCTATTGCATGTTGCAACACAGTTTACAAGATTTGTTCCAAAATCCTTGCTAGGCGAGTTAGCGAAGTCCTTGACTCAATCATTGATGAGGCTCAAGCCGCTTTCGTGAAAGGGAGGGACATGACCGACAACATACACCTCATGCAACAACTACTCCGACTCTACTTGAGGAAATGGGTCTCCCCTAGGTGTATCATCAAAATAGACCTTCGCAAAGCATTCAAATCCATCTCTTGGTCGTTCTTGAAACAAGTGCTCGAGGTGCTCGGCTTCCCCGTGATTTTCACAAAATGGGTCATGGAGTGCGTCTCTACTCCATCCTACTCTATATCTATCAACGGGAGCCTCAAGGGCCACTTCAAAGGTCCCCGTGGCCTAAGGCAAGGCGACCCCCTATCACCCTTCCTATTTGTGATTGTATGGAATACCTTACTCGGCTTATCAAGAGCATCATGACGGCCGTCACGAACTTCAATTATCATCCGATGTGCGAAAAACTAAAGATCACGCACCTAGCCTTTGCCGATGAACTCATGCTTTTATCTCGTGGGGACCCGCCGTCAATTCAAATTCTCATGGATTCCCTCAAGGACATTGGAACTAAGTTGGGGCTTGAGATGAATGTACTTAAGTCCAATATATACTTGGCTGGAGTCAAGGATGATAGTCGGGCTACAATCCTCGAATAAAAAACTTCCGGTGCGGCCCAATGCTTTTTTGGTACCTCGGTGTCCCTCTCTCCGCGGACCGAACCACGGCTAGACTATTTGACGATATGATCGAGCAAATTTAAGGACAACTTAGTAGGTAGAACGGGCACACTCTTTCTTATGCCGGAAGATTGGAACTACTTTGCTCGGTGATCCAAGGCATTGTGTGCATTTGGATAGGGATATTCTGTAACACCCCTCCTTATCGTAAATCAGAGTGCGCAAAAATTCGCAAAGTTACTTAAAAATAAAGCATTTTTACTTTGCGAAAACTGATTCGGGGTGCTACCTTAAAAACGTGACTTAATTTGGAAAACCGTTAGTTTAATTTTAATAAAATCGTCCGATTACTGAAAGCATGAATTTCTCAAAAGTTCATCAAAAGATAAGTTCGT